GCAACGAGAAGCACCGCGACGCTGTGCGCAACCGCTGCGACCTCGGCGCCCCAGTCCGATGGGCCGAGGAACAGCGCGGCCAGCGTGCTTGGGAGTGCCAGCGCAGCCATCGTGCCGGGCGGCGGGAGAAGCAAATCGGCCGGCAGTTTGTTCTCGACGAGCACTGCAGAGGCACACGCGGACAGTCCGATCGGCGCCGCGCAGCAAGGAACAGAGCAGAAGAGCAGCGTTGCGGCGAATCCAGCATAGCTGGTGCAGCAGGTGGGTAGGAGTGGTGCGAGGACCAGCGCCGTGTACGCGAGGATACGCGTGTAGCTCGTGGGCGCCAGCTGGCGCCGCGCCGCGGCCGCGAGCAGCCACGTGCCGGCGCGGAGCGCCAGCTCGGTGAGCGCGACCGTGAGCATGTTCTGGTTCGGGAGGCACGCGTCGGGGGCACCTGTGACGGCCCGCAAGGCGCGCGATACGGTGGTACCTGCGAGGGGGGGGGGGGAGGCGGAGGATGCAGAGGCGGAGGCGGCGGCGGCGGAAGAGGAGGAGGGGGAGAGTGAGGGGGAGGCGGAGGCGGGGGCACCTGTGACGGCCCGCTACGAGAAGGGCGACTACCGTTCGCGCGGGAGAAGAATTGCGACCCGAAGCTCGACTTCGAGACGTTCGGCGGATTCGGGGACGGCGTCCGCAGAATTCTTCGCAGGCGGCGGACCAGCTGAGTAACAAACTTTCGCACGCTCAGCACCTCGATGAGGTCACATGGACCACCAAGAACTGGCACGGGCTGCAGATGCAGCGCTTGTCTGTCGTCCTCCAGGTGGCGATCCCGTGTCCGACTCCCCGGGCGAGGGCGGCGGCGTTGGGTTATATCGCCTCCCCTCCCCGGGGGGTCGGGCCGGCTCTCCTTGGTCGACGAATCGCGCCCGCACCCGCGACCGTCTTTCCATCGTTCTCGGCTCGCCCCTCCCCTCCGCCGGCTCCTCCTCAAGCTCGGGGAGGCGTGGCCCTCCTTGTCGTAGATCACGGTGGTCCGACTGCTGCCGCGACGGGTCTACCCCCGGTGGGCTCGTGCGTCCCGACTCCACTCGCAGAGGTCGCGTCAGCTCATCTCTCGCCTCCTCCGACAACTGACCCCAGGCCCCCCCTGGGGCCCTCCGGCCTCGGCTCCCCAGCTCGTCGGCGGGTCCGTTACCGTATTGCGGCAACTCCCCTCCCCCAGCTCCTCCTCCCGGGTACTCCAGCCCCCGGCGGGGCGGTTCCGGATCCCCCAGGTTATTGTGAGTGAGTATTCTTGATACGAAACCACGACGACACACACCAGTCGACTCGCATCGGTTGCCTCCATGAACGGCGGAGCTATTCTCGCGCCCACACCACACCTGGCTCCAACGTGGACACGCCCATAGCTGGGGACACTACTAGGTCACGCATGGCATCAGAAGTTTTATCTCTGGGCCCCGAAAGGCATCTCTAGCAGCAGCACACACGCACACACACACACACCCCGTTATTCCGGCGGCACGGGGGCAGCGCGGGCCTCGTGTGGAGCAGGGAGGGTGTCTGTGGTGGGTTGTAGTCATACTACGTGGTTAGAACCACGCGCCCCTCAGGAGCTACACACACACACACACACACACTCACGGAGTGGGCCCCGAGTTTGAAAAGGGCGACGGACGCTTGCGTCCTAGCCTCCAACAACGCCTCCCCGGCGCAGAGGGGCCCCCGGAGGGATGCTCCGCCCCACGCCACGCCGCTTGCGGTGGTAGGTAGGTAGGTAGAAAGGTGAAGAACAGCCAGGCTCGGACTCGACACCAACGCGATATGGGCGGCGGTGCGATTCATTTATTTTTTGGGGGCGCGCCGCCAGGCGCGTCCCCACTTTTGTATCACAGCTGCGAGGGCCAACCAAGGGATTCGGCGCGTCAAGTTAACTTGACCGCTCGTTCGGGCTTTGGGCCGCAGGCCGGCGCGCAGCGCCACGCCGCCAGGCGTCCGCCGGAGGCCCGCCGGAGGCTCTTCCTGCGGCCACATTCTGGCAAGATTCCGCCGCGCTCAGGCAACCAGAGGATGCGTGCGCTGCGCTCAAACGTCGCGATTTGGCAATAGGCGCTCGAGCCGGCGCACAGCGGACGGGTGCGCCGCGCAGGGGGGGTCGGAGGGGTGCGAGAGGGGGCGTGGGTCGGGCGCGCACCGGCCGGCTCCGGGAGCGGCCGTCACGTCGAGGAGGGGGGCTGTCGGCGGCTCGAGCGGCGAGGCGTGCCACTCTGCTTCGCCGCCGACAGCCCCTCTTCCGAGCCGGCGCGTGGCGACGAGCCGCGGCCAGTGTCGCTGGTTCCTTTGGCGGCGCAGCGTTTATCCCCCCCACCCGCGCCCGCCCGCCCGACCGCCCGCCCGCCCTCAGGCCTTGCCCCTTCGCAGGCGCGGGAGCGCTCGCCGGCGAGCACCTCCTACCTCTCCTCGCCCGGCTGCTCCCTTGCCCCGTCGCCCGCCGCGCCCTCGCCCGGCCTCAAGAGCTTGGCGGCCTTTGTCCGCCAGCTCAAGGCGTGGGACGAGGCGTGCGCCGACGGCCGCTCGTCGTGCTGGTTCGAGACGGAGGGCGACCTCCCGCGGCTGGCCGGGGAGGCGCTGCTGGCCGAGGCGGCCGCGACGGGCGCGAGGCGGATCGCCTTTGACGCCGTCGCGGCGCGTCTCGAGGCGACCGCGGCGCCGCCGCCGCCTCTCGGCACCGCCTTGGCCGCGTGGCCCACGGGATGGGGCATCGAGGAGGGCAACTTCTGCGGGCTGGCGCACTGGGCTGTGGAGGTGTGGCACGCGGCCGGGTCGGTCGACGCGAGCCGGTGGCAGGTCGAGGCTGACGGAGGGCGCCTCTTCTTTGTGCGGGTCGCGGAAAAGGCCGCATAATCGCGCTCTCCGCCGAGGCCCGCCTCGGCGACGGCGCTCGCCGCGTAGCAGCAGCAGTAGCAGCAGCAGCAGCAGCACGTGATTCTTGACACATGATTACACTACACAGTCCTCCCTTCGGTTGTCGTTTCGACAAAAAAAAAATTGCTAACGCGAAAAACCGGCACACCAATCTCCCTTCCTCTCCCTATCCTTTCTTGGAGCTCTAGAGTCCACACCCCCCTGCCCCGGGATCGCGTACAAGCTGAGGCTACCGTAGGCCACACTAGCGTCGCTGGGGGTTCCCTGCCCTAGATGGGAAGCTGGCCGCTGATCCGAAGACCGACTGCACCAGGGCGCCTAGATATACTCAAGGTGAGCGAGGGTGAAGTTACGCCTTAAATGCCTGTCTCTCTACTGTGGACCTTACTCCGAGCGCGATGGCTCCTCCTATTCCCCCACCCCCCCTCCCCCCCCACTCTCTCCGAGTAAGGGCGTGCGCTACGTCCCCAAGGGGGGGGGGACGTGGGGGGGAGGTGTGACTTTTAGGTTGTGGCGTTTGGGTTTTTGTGGGGCACCCAAACGGTTTCGGTTTTCCTCCTTGGTGCCCCGAGTAGAGCGCGATCTCCCCTGGAGTCTGTCGCGCCCGTTCTGTCTAAGCTCGAGGTTCAACCTTCCAGTTGATCCTTATCGGACTGGTGAGGTCTGCCTAGCCGTCGTAGTGTAGTGCCTGGGGTGCGTCTGCGTCGGTGCTACACACACTCGGCAGGACGCTGCTGTAAAGGTCGTTGCTGCTGGTCGTCGCTGTTTGTTAATGGTGTTTTTTCTTTTTATGCTTATGGCAGTAAAAAGAAACGGAAACGTGTGCGGCAGGCGCGGGCTCGGTCGATATCCCATACTTCGACTCACATATTCACTGCTGCGGTGTGTGCCCGGGGAGGCGCGGCGGCGGGGTGGATTGAGAAGGTCTCAGAATGCAGAGAAGCTGCAGGCGTGCAGAGGCGCGCGCTGCAGTTTCTCTGATCGGGCTGCTGGCGGTGTGCGCGAGACGGCGTGGTGAGGCGTGAGGCAGGCTATTGTGGGGTGCGGGCTGCGTCTAAGCGTATGCGTGCACATGGTGCTGTATGCTGTGTGTGCAGGCAGGCTGACAGGCTGTGCACAGCAGACTGGGCGGATGAGCGAGCGCGCGTGCGGGCGTGCGTGCGCGCCTGGGCCTGCGCGGTGCCGTCGCACTCGCGGCGCGTCCTAGTACAGCCGCTTGTGGGATGCCAGAAGCAGTCTGCAGAGCCTGCACAGGGCGCAAAAAGGCGCAGGTGTGCTGGTGAGGTGTGCTGCGGCGCGCGCGTCGCGGCGTGGGTGGATATGCGGCTTGCTCTGGTGGTGCGAGGGGCGCGTGGCTGGTGCGGGCGGCGCGGGACGGCCATGGGGCGCCAGCACAGGGCAGACGCACATGAGACACAGGCTTCTGGGCGCTACGCGTGTTTGCGTGCGCGCGGGGACGTACGCGCAGTTTTCACGCGGTGTGCGTGGAGAAGGGCATGAGAGGCGCCGGCCGCGCGTGTGTTGTCGTGTGGGAGTTCGGAGTATGCCCGGAGGGCGTGCCCGTAGGCGACTAGACTTCGCACTGGCGCCGGAGGCCCCAGATATGAAGAAAAGGTTGTCGTTTCGACCCTGTTTTTTTCTTCTATCGCAGCGCACTCGCATCTGTGAGCCTAGCGCAGCGCGAACTCGCCGTCTGAGCCTAGCGCAGCGCGAACTCGCTCTGAGCCTAGCGCAGCGCCTCGGAAAACACCATTTTGGCTCGCCAACAAGCCCTCCGCGCCCCCACACCGTTAGGATAATACTTTTTTCTGCGCGAGCCGGCCGGCACCCTCATGCTCAGCTTGCTGCTCCTCGCTATCGTGAGTGGCAGCCACGCGCTGCTCCGTGGCGCATGCGGCTCGGCGGCGTGCGTGGCCCTCGGCGGCGGCGGCGGCGGCGCTTTGCTGAAGAGGCCGTGGTGCCGCCTATCGGCATCGGCGCCACCAGCCAATGCCGCCCCGGAGCGGCTCGGTGCAAGGCTCGGAGCGGCGGCACGAAGCCGGCCAGCTTTCATGGCTGCTCGCAGCTCAGCGGCGACGGAGCCGCTGCCTCCGACGCTTCTGCCGATCACCTTCTCGGTCTTTGCTCAGATGATTGGCGAGGGGATCGCGATCTCGTCCCTCCCGCTGCACATGACGCTGCTCGGCGCGTCGCCGCTCGAGGTGGGCTCTCGTCCCGACTCTCGCGAGCACTAAGTCAAACACACACACACACACACACACACACACACACACACACACACACACACACACACACACACACACACACACACACACACACACACACACACACACACACACACACACACACACACACACACACACACACACACACACACACACACACACACACACACACACACACACCAACACACACACACACACCAGCACCATCACCGACCGCCATCCGCCGCCAGCCCCAGCCGCCAGCCGCCAGCCGACCGGCCTCCTCCCCGCAGGTTGGCCTCGCAACCTCCTGCTTCTCCGTCGCCCAGATGGTCCAGAGATAGCCGAGACTTAGCCACGACGACATACGTTCAGATTTAGCCGAGAGCTGCCGTGAGCTGGCGCCGTTCACACCCGCCGGCATGGACAGGTCTGCTGCCCCGCCCTCGTCTCGCTCTCGAGCCGCTTCGGCCGCGCGCTCGTGCTGCGCGTCTGCTTGGGAGGTGCCTCCCTCTCCTCCTCCTGATTGCGCCGTCGTGACGGGCAATCTCATTATGCTTGTCTGCTCTCACCAGGCGCCACTCTCCTCCTCCTCCACTGTCGCTCTTCTCATCCAACAAAGCGGTCAACCGTTGGGTTGTTTGTGAGTCCAGGCGCCACCCTCTCGTCTCTGCTGATCGCCGCTTCCGGCCCTCCACCGCCGGCATGCTCACAGAGGACACGTCCACGACACGTCCGTGACACGTCCAAGACGTGTCCCGAAGGCTCCACCGCCGGGATCGTCACCGGCCGCTTCTGCGCCGGAGTCTTCGCGGCTTCGGTCCCGCAGCGGCGGAGGAGGAAGCAGCTAGCAAGTCACGGGCGCGGCGTCTTCACAGTTGCCGGCTGTGAACAGGTCCCGGTGGCGCAAGCGGCGGCGACTGACATTGTGAGCGCTTTGCTGCAGTCTGCTTCTGCGAGGAGGCGCCGTTCACAGCTTGCTGCTGTGAACAGGTGAGCGGGCCGCAGACAGCGCGCGCTCTCAGCCGGGTCTCCGCCGCCAACCAGGCAGATAGCCGAGAGGCAGCCGAGAGACAGCCGGATCTCCGCCCCCAACCAAGCTCGCGAGACATGGCCGAGATACAGCCGAGGTATTGCCGAGATACAGCCGAGATACAGCCGAGAGGCAGTTGTGGTCCCACCTCCTCCTGTGAACGGCGTCTCTTCACAGCTGGACGAGTGTGAACAGGCGGGTGTGGTGGTTGGCCCCGCTGCCTCCGCCCTCCTCATCGCCCTCTTCGCTTCTTGCGGCGTGGCGCCGCCGCTGCGTTTGCGCTGTGCTTTCGCTGCATCGGCGGTGCTGTCGATGTCGGTTGGGATCCCCGCACTCATTATGCGCCACGCCTCTCCACACCCTACAGCACCACTCCTAGCACACGGGGTAGCGTCTCTTCACACCCTCCCGCCTGTGAACAGGTCCTCGTCGCGTCAGTGCTGCCGGGAGGACGGCGCAACGCAGAGAGCGTCGCAGCTGCAGCGGCGAGGGAAGCGGCAGGCGGAGGAGGGGGAGGAGGGGATGGTGGGAGCGTGTCGCCAGTGCCGCCGGTGGCGGGTGTGGGCGCTGTGGCGCAGCCGCTGCTTCGCTTGCTCGCGGCGACGAACGATCGCTTCGCTGGGGGTGTGATGAGCTGGATTTATCTTCACAGCTGCGGGCTGTGAACAGGTGATGCTCGGCTGGTCCCTCACGCTCAGCGTGTCGACGTACGGTCTCTTCGCGCCGTTCGCGCTGGGGTGGCGGCCGATCGAAGCAAATTCCTTCCCTGCACATGCCTTTTGAACCTTCTGGTGCCTTTCTCTCAGGTACGGACAGTCGCAGCTGAGTGCGACCTTCTCCGCCGGCGCCGCTTGCACGATCCTCGTCCAGATCGCCCTCTTCCCGCGCCTCGTCGCCGCGCTGGGCGAGCATCACCGCTTCTGTCCCTCTCCCTCCCCCTCCCGCCCTCTCCCGCTCTCTCCTTTCCGCCTCTTTCCTCACCACCACCACTCACCACCCACCGCCACACTAGGCGAGCACCTCGCAGCGACGTGCGGTGCTGTCGCCGTCGCCGTCGGGCTCGGAAGCTGCTCGCTCGTGCACGCGCCGCTCCCGCTGCACACCGGGCGAGCGATCTAGATGTAGCCGAGATGTAGCCCAGATAGAGCGAGAGCCGCTCTGCACACCCAGACTCTTGCTAGACCTTTCCTAGAGCCTTCCTAGAGCCTCCCAGCACACGCCCGCTTGGCTCTCGCCTCCCTCCCCCGCGGCCGACTCGCATGCGCATCTTGGCTATATCTCAGCGCTATTTCTCGTCACCATTTCCCCCGCAGGCTCTACCTTCTCAACCGCGCCGGCTCGGGCGTGGCAGACACCGCCACGGCGACGCTGGTGGCGCGCTCGTCCCGCGGCAAGGAGCCGACGAGATGCAGCCGAGATGCAGCCGAGATGCAGCCGAGATGCTGCCGAGATATCGCTCGTCGCGCCGCGGTACGCGAAGAGATATGGCCGAGATGCAGCACGTCCGACACGCGACACGTCCCTGACACGTCCCCGACACGTCCCCGACACCCGACAGGAGCAGCGCTCTCGCAATCTCGGGCTGATCCAGTCATCGCGCGCCGCAGCTCGCATCGTGACACCGCTCGTCTCGGGCGGGAGATAGCTCGAGATCTACCCGAGATTCTCCCGAGATCCCACCGCGCTCCTCTCGGTTCGAGTATCTCATGAGACCCGCGACACGTCCACGACATGTCCGCGACACGTCCCCTGTCAGGCGAGCTCTTCCGTCGCTCGTGCGCCGCGCCGAAGCCATGGTGCACACCGCAGACTTAGCCCCACCACCCTCTTCCTCTTGCGGGTGGCTCTTGACACGCCGTCACCCGTTGAAACAGGTCCGGCACGCTGCCCTACCACCTCTGCGCCGCGTGCATGCTCGCCGCCGCCTCGATCCCGCTGTTGCTGCGCCGATCCGAGCGGGAGGCGGAGGAGGCGTCGGCGCAGGCGCAGCTGCGGGAGGGGACCGCGGCGGTGGCGAGATAGCGGACGATTATCGTCGCTCTTGCCGTGCAGTGTGCCGTGCGGTGTGCCTTTGCCTTGCGGTGTGCCGTGCGGTGGCGTTCGCTGTGGATCTCACACCACACCGCTGGGGCCGGCACAGTGCCAGAGCGAGCACGCTGGGAACCGAGAACCCCAACGCGCCGGACACTCGCGGTTTTTTAAATATGGGCGGTATTGTGTGAGAAGGAAGCAGGGCCGGACGTAACGATGAGAAGGGCACGCGCGGGTGGGTGGGCTCCTGCGGGAACCCTTTTCCGACGAGTCTTTGCGGGATGCGCCCGTCCAAATCGCCGATCGCACGTACCCGTCCACATCGTGCGCTACCTGCCGCGCCGCTGCGTGCGGCCCATTCCAGACACCCGCACACGCTTCGGCCTAGACCTGCAGCCCTCTGTCGCGACCGCCATACCGTCCCTGACCACAACCGCGAGCGCGACTGTGCATCGGCCACGAACGGAGCGCCGCCGCGCATTCATCTCCATGCCTCACGCAGCTCCCTGCCCCACCTCTAGGTTTCTGATGCTGGAACTCATTCCAGCGGGTGGCGACAAAGTAACCATCCGCATCAACTGGGCGGCGTCCGGACCCTCGGATCGCGCGCACAGTAATGAGCAGCCGGTCGACGCCGACTGCGCCATGCGAACAAGCTCACAGAGCGGCTGGATGGCCTCCCCAAAACCGCCGACGAGTTAGGTCGCAATCTCTCCGGCTACAAAGCACAAGGGTGGTCCTCGCTGGCCAGTCTGCACGACAACGCAACAAATAATGGACCAGCACACGTGGATGCGAAAGCTTCAAACAGTCCAGTCGACGGGCAGGAGTGGACAGGCAAGAAGGAACGCCCATCTGCGTGCTCCGACTCACAGCAAATACGCTCGCCGTGGCTCAGCAAGTTGCTGAGGCAAAAAATGCAGAACATTGACGGCACGCAGGCGGTCGTTCACCTCGATGCCAGCTGGCGCAAACTCTTGGCCGAAAACGGGATTAAGCTCCGCAAGGGCTCATACATCAAGATTGGCAACCTTTATTGGGCGCCGAAGCAAAAGCGGCGGGACATGACCACGTACCAAAAGGATCTGAGCACCTTCTTCGGAGACAAATTTACTGACGAGTTTACAAACGAGGTTGCAGCGTTGCAAAAGGAGTCAATGGACGGGCTCAAAACGTTCATCAAAGACGCGCTGCACGTCGACAAGCTGACTGGAGATGTCTCGTTTGAACGCGGGGTGATGAATTATGTCAACAAAGTAACCATCGGCGCTCTTGGCGCTAGCATGGCGTTTGGCGTGGGAGCAGGCGCAGGTGTGCTGACATCCACCGCCGGTATTCTTGCGGCCGCGGGCGGTCTCAGTGCGACTGGGGTCGGCATCGTTGTCGCTGCCCCCTTGGCGTTGTGTGCTGTTGGTTGGGGCATTCACCAGCAATATGGGATAAGCGAGGAGGAGTGCCAGACGAGGGCGATTAACTACTTTTTGAAGGGGCTAGCCGCGAACAAAAGCAATTTCCAGGAGAAGGTGTGCAGTAAATTTGACGAGGCGATGGGCGAGCTGATGGAAAAGCTCATGGACTTCCGTCTGCTCTCGTCGGAGTCGAAAGAGCTCCGGCATATCATCGAGAATAGCGACCAGGAGCGCGCGCGACTGGAGAAGCAATTCACTACACTACGAGAGGAGCTAGGGAAGCTGGACTCATGGCTCTGCGGAGACGCCGAGCTCAAGAGGATTGTCTTCGAAAGCTGTGGCGAGGATTTTTAGGTGAGCGGACAGTGGCTGCGGTGTGCGGAGTGCGGTCACAGAACTCGTCAGAAGCTGCCAGCGTGAGGGGAATATCTCACAGCTGGATCGGGTTCCAGCCGCAGTATGCACCTCAAATGAAAATATAACACTGGGTGCATGTACAAACATTATATAATCGCACGCTTACATACATAGCCACACGACACCGATTTACCAGCCGCAGCAAGCCTCGCAGTGCAGACGAGAGACACAGCGACAGAGGCACTGGGGTGGAGGATGGGGCGGGGCGGGGGAGGCAACGAAGGGGGTGGAGGATGGGGTGAGGGAGCACAGAGGGTGGGAGAGTGCTCGAGGCAGTGGGCGCGAAACAGGGTGCACAGAGGGACTGGGGCCGGTACACACATGTCCAGCAACGCGTGAGAGCCGTGCGCAGAATACGCGGGTCGCATGCAAGAAGCGCCAGGGACGGCGCAAGGGGCGTACGGGCGTCAGGGCCGCGTTCAGGGCCGGTACGTTGGGAGCGTTGTCAGGGCCGCGACGCCTCGACGGCGTGGTCGGAGATGTACCTGAGACGTGTCATGGACGTGTCGTGGACGTGTGTCGTGGGCATGTCGCGGACGTGTCGTGGACGTGTCGTGGGCGTGTATGCGTCACGGGCGTGTCGTGGGCGAGTGTTCGGCAGCGCACCGCGAGAAGCTCGAGCAGAGCATGGCGAGGGAGGGGTCGTCCAGCTGAGAGAGGTGCGCCAGCAGCTGCACAACCTGCAGGGAGGGACGGGGGCACGGACGTGTCGTGGACGTGTCATGCAGAAGAGAGGCGCTGGTAGCTGCACCACGCACCTACAGGGGACGTGTCGTGGACGTGTCGTGGACATGTCATGCATCATGGCAGGAAGCAGCTAGGTAACCACACACCTGCGTGCGGCACTCGCGCGGCCGCGACCAGAGCCGGTCAACACACGACTACGGGCAGAGAGCAAAGAGGAGGGAGCTGTGAACGGCGTCTCTTCACACAGCAGCGCCTTCACAACCACCACCCCTCTCGCTCACCTCCAGCGCCGCCTCTGGTGCCGCCGCCTCGGGCGCCGCCGCCTCGGCCTCGCGGCGGGCGGCGGCGCGCGCGGCGTCGATCTGTGCGCGGAGGAGGGCGAGCTGGCCGGTGACCTGTGGAGGGGGGGGGGGGAGAGGGGTGAGAGACATCTGCAGATCTGCCTTGGCGACACTCTCATCTCGGCGATATCTCTACCTTATTTGGACCGACTCTTGGCTATATCTCGGCTGTCTCTCGGCGGCGGCCTCGTCGCGCGTCTTGAGGAAGGCGGGGTGCTTCATCACCGCGGGGGAGGAGACGGCGTGCACCTGAGAAGAGGCACCGCGGCTTACCTCGGCTAGATCTCGGCTGTATCTCGGCTGTATCTCGGCTGTATCTCGGCTGTATCTCGGCTAGATCTCGGCTAGATCTCGGCTAGATCTCGGCTGTATCTCGGCTGAGACTCCTGTACTCTGCTACATCTCCTGTGCCTCTGCTACATCTCGGCTATCTCTCAACTATCTGCACTGTGTCTCCGCGATATCCCCACTGTCTCAACTGCATCTCAGCGATCTCTCCACTCCCTCGCGCCTCGCGCAGCTCCTCCTGGCACTCGCTCAGCTCCGCCTCGAGGCGCGCCACCTGGCTCACAGGCGGAGCTACGGCTGTGAAGAGGCAGGTAAGAGACAAGAGTCCCGGCCCCGGTGGCGGCTGCATCTCGGCTGTATCTCGGCTGTGTCTGGGCTCACAGGTGGAGCTGCGGCTGTGAAGAGAGAGGTAACACCTGCAGCTAAGAGACAGGAGCCACGGTGCCTGCAGCTCCCCGCCCCGACTGTATCTCGGTTGTACCTCGGCTGCATCTCGGCTATATATCGGCTGCATCTCGCTAGTGCGGGCGCCTCCGCCTCCGCCTCCGACGCCGCAGCGAAGGTCCCTCGCCCCTCGGCATGAGGAAGGTCCTGGGAGGGCGAGGTGCGGCGGGGAGTCAGGCGATATGCACCTCGGCTGTATCTCCCTCCATCTCTCGGCTCACCTCGACTGTATCTCGGCCATATCTCGGCTGTATCTCGTCCATCTCCGCTGTATCTCGGCTGTATCTCGGCGGCAGGGCGGGCCTGGAAGGAAGAGGAGTCGGCCTGCCCCTCCGCCTCCCACCCCTCCTCCTCGTCCACCTCGTCCACCTGCGGCCACACGCGGCAGAGAAGAGGGGGGGGAGGGGTGAAGAGGGCTGGAGAGATCATCACCCGCACCTCCAACCCCCCTCC